ATATTTAATTAATATTTCATTTATTTCTATAATAAAAAATGTTATTACTTTGGTGCGATACATGGCAGAAGATGCCCTCCATTTTTCTAAAAAAAAATTAAATTTTAATTATACAATAATTAAAAATAATGTTGAAAATAAATTAATCAAAACGTTTCTTTTATATTACAAAATAAAAGTTTTTTATCGAAAATTGAAACTGAAAACTTACTCTGCCGAAGTCAACTACCTCCTCTCTGCAGTTTTTTTTAGTGAGCTGTTTAAATAAACAGAAATCGTATGAACATTATAATTTTCAATTATTTTTTTAATTTTAGTTAATTAGAACACGTCAAGCAACACTTTTTATAATTGTAAACTCTTTTATCGTTAATAACATTTGTAATATTAGTAATAGATACGTATTTACATTATTAATTAATCCATAAGTTTTATACTTATGAAGGACTATAATCGTAGTAAAGTAACAAAATTGATTTTTATCAATTTAAAAAGTTGAACACGAACGAATGATTATTCGTAAAAAATTATTTTAAATAATTTGAAACTGTTGTCATATTAGTTGTCTTACAAATACAGTATACCCTAATATGTTTACATCATCAAAATTTGTTAACAATAGTATGCACTATAATACAAACACAACCATCTTCCTAGCTTATTTTTATAATCGTGACGGTGATATCACGGGTGTTATTAATGCCCATTGATACAGATTTCTGTGTTGCACGTAGCTATTTGAATTTTTTTTGACTATGCATTTCATTTCGTCTATCTGTGCGGCTTTTACTATTTTCAATCATTTAGGCTATATGTTCCGTTAGAAATAAATTTGCCACTGTAATTTATTGAATTACAGAAAAGACTTTTCGGTTAGGTAAAGCGGTTTCGTCAGGTTTCAAATAGAATCTCTGTAAGTACTGTAAGAAAAGCTAATTTATTTCTATAGAGATTTAAATACAGTCGTACTGCGATTTTCAAGAGAACTGAGAAAAATATCTCGTAAGGAAGAAAAAGTACAGGTAACCCCGTAAAACACGGTATTTACATAGCACGGATTCACTGTAACACAATTCGGGAATTGGGTAAAACCCTCGTACAGCATGAAATGTAATAAAGGGTGCGTTCTTTTATACCTCCGCGTAACTCCCCGCGAACATTCTAATTGTTTTCGTGGCTACTTTGAATGCTCTTTCAACAAATAATTCATTTAATTGTTAACTTTTACAATTTGGACCCTTCTTTTGCCTCTAAAAGCTCATTTTATAATTATAGATTCCTTCATCACGAAACTATCGATAGTGCGGACGTCGCCATCCTTTTTTCACCGTCGTTCCTAAATGCCTACAAACAGCAGCACACTCCCGTTGCAGAGCGACCGCTATTAACGAACGCACCCAAAAACTGTTACCAGTTGATGATGCTCATGCTGAGATCATCATATAGGATGAATAATCCCCTGGTAAAATATTTACTTAAATAATAAAGAAGTATTTTACTTATGAAGAAATGAATAATAAATCAGATTTAAATAAGGATTTAACAGCATGTTTTTTAATTTTTGGAACTTATCCCCCCTTTTCGCACTAGTTCTTTGTTTCGTATAACACGGCAATTTTTTAGAACGTTACTCCCGTGTTATACGGGGGTTACCTGTATAAGTGAAACATGCTTCCAGAATGAGTATAGTCGTCAAATAGTATGGCATAACTGCATTTGTACGTGTAATTCTTAGCAAATTTTGAATTTATTATACTGTACAGTATAATACATTTGTACAACAAATAAAAGAAAAACTAAAACAGTGTAAAATTAAGTCACGTAGTATTAAACATTAGTGAAGTTTTCTTTGTTACTTGTTTCTTTCCCGGCTGTTAAGTATATGCTACTGTAAAAGACCGATATCTAGCAAATGTCGAGATTCTGCGGTGAATGTCAGCATTCACACAATTGTTTTCGTGTATGTACGAAATATTTGCTAAATATCATCATTTCTCACTTACATCGGCAAATGTCGACATTCAGCATGTAGCGATGGTAGATGTTGAATAAAAATATTTTTATTACGTTAAGACAAAAATTCAACTTTTTAATATGTCAAAATAAGAGAAACAGCACATGTAAATAAATTGTTGAACCTAAAACAAACAGTACATTCTAACATTATCTTCACGCAGTGGCTTAGCGTGGGTGTCAGCCGCCCGGGGCAGAGGAAAATTTCCCCACCCCTTATTTTGGTATCTCAATTCAAAAGACTAAAATTCAGTTTCATCACAGAATAGGTAATGAAAAATTCCGTGCTAGTGCTGCCACCCTTTTAAAATCGCTGATCCGGACAGCAGGTGAAGTTTGTTCGAACAGAAGTTCCTAACGCATGCGTATGTCATTTTGCAATGCGAAGAATATGTGCAGTGCATTCCGGTTCTAAATCAGTTATAGTTAGCGACTAGGAAGACTTGGGTTAGAGTAACGTTACTTACGTTACTCTAACCCAAGTCTTCCTAGTCGCTAGATGACAGCTCTGTTGGATATTGGAGGTGTATATAGATACGAATGATTCGCGCAAAAAAAAGAAAAAAAAAGGTCGACAGGTAGCGCACGGACGGTGAGTCGATTCTCAGACTGTCTGGATGGTAACACTATTCCGTGCTCATTTCAATCCGTCCGAATCGTAGGTGGACGAAAATATTAAATAAAATGGTTCAAATTCTAAAAAAATATTATTATTTATTGTGAAATTTTGCCGCTCCCTAAAACGTAATTTTTCCGTCCCCTAAAATGTGCCGCCCGGGACGGGCCGCCCCTGCCGCCCCCACTACGCTACGCCACTGTCTTCACGTAATGCAGCAGCTTCCATTTGTTTCAGATTTTCTGAATTAGTGAATTAAAAAGTGAGGTTTATCATGGACATGTTGCAAGTTTGACAAGCGTGAATGACAGTATCACACCTCGAGTGATAAGCATCGCAGAGAATCAATTACGGTCAGCGACTGAAGACACTGCTCATCAACTTCTGGTGTACATCTTCAGAATGGGGACCACATAGTTCAGTATCCCATGCTGCATTGCTAAAGTTTCTGTGTAATATTAGTATCTTGTACAAATGAAATGTTTGTTGTTTGCAGTGCTAAAAGTGCCATTGTGGTGAGTACTAATTTTCAAGGAAATGTCTTCGTCCTGAAATGTCATTTCATAAAATTTGGTTGCAGTATATCAGCAACGAAATTTGATATTCTGACATTTGGTATACCCTAGTAACGTATTGAACACGGATATTTTAATTACAATCACTTAGTACAGTATCAAAATATTTATTATATTTATATATTTAACGATCAAACTTTCTATTGTATGCTGAAAATAAGAAAGATAGTAAATTACCATTAACTTTGTTTATAGAGCTTAAATGAAAAATTACTAGTGTAAACGCGTTCAACAGAAAATGATTATCTGAAATTCATATTTAATCCACATTCGGTAAAAAGTACAGAAAGTAAAATAACAAACGACTTTAGCTGTTAAAATTTATTTTTAAAAAGTAAAATAAAATAAAATTCAACAGCTAAAACTGTTTGCTATTTTATGAAACAGCTTGATCATACACTATTCCAAAACAGTTTCGCAAATTTGTGGCACATAATACAGTATTATAATTTTATTCCAATGTATGATAATGTATTTTTTGTCCGCAATATAAAATGTACGTTACTGTTTTCAATACTGAGATTATGTAGTTCCCTATCATCTAATAGTTTTACTTTCGAAAATTTTAAATTTTCCAGATTTTCATCCAATCTCACAAAATCCAGTTCGATCCAATCTGAATTTAAGAATTTCTGTTTTATTTCAGTCTTAGACTAAGTATTAATAACTTAAATCATAAGTTTTAAACTCGATTTTATTAATTTAAGTTATAATTAATAAATTTTATAACAAATATTTCTAAATTCAAAAATCCAGCAATGAGTTGCTTAACTTTCCCGAAAACATTTGATGTCGCTATGTGTTATCATATTTTATTAATAAAACGTTTTATAAGTAATAGAGGTTTAAGTTGCACTAATCACACAATTAATTTTTCAATAAATTTCCTAAGTAAAATTGGATGGCACTGTTCACAAAATTATTTTTTTGTCAAGTAAATTTTAAAATATAGTTGCATTGATATAATTTGCTTTAATAACAAAATTAATTTTTACTCAAGTATATAATAATTTTTAATAATAAATAATTTGTATAAATTCTGAAAATTTGTTTTAATATTTGTTTTAATGACAAAAGTAATTTTACTCAAGTAAGTTGCATTGATAAAATTTGATTTGTTAATAAGTTGTTCTGAATAGATTTACAATAAGAAGTTTTATTATAATTTTACTCAAAGTGAGTGGTAATTTGAAATAATATAACACAAAAATCTTTTTATTTTCGCATTACATGAATACAGTTTGTTTAAGTGTTTATAGTACACTTAATAAATAGCGGCCGGATGGCAGCCTACCGCTCTGGGAGACCCGGGTTCGAATCCGAACGGGTCGAAAAATCCCCAGGAATTTTTCGGGGGGTGGCACCGTCCCTCACCACCCGGCAGCCCCATTGTGGGCCTGGCCGAACGCTTAATGGGCTTGCAAAATGAGGCCCCCCTAGTGCCCACAGGTCGGAAAGAGTTTAAAAACAAAAAAAAAAAACACTTAATAAATATATTAAAACAGTTTATTTCTGCAAGTAAGACCAGCAATATATATTCTCGATTGCGAACGATATAATCTCGATCTAATTTTTGATATTTTATAATGTTACACCAAGAAAATTGATTTTGGAAATCGTCGATAAATTGTTCGTCAAGTTTTTGGTAGCGAGAAACAACATCTCAGTCTAGATAATCTTTTAACTCGCGTAAAGTATTTGTTTTTAATTGTTGGTATTTTAAAATTTTTTCATTATCAAAGTGATGCATGAAGATAACAATAAAATCGTCCGAAAGAGTTTGAAATTCTGCAACTTTATTCCAATCAAGATGGTCCAAAAAATCAGTTAGGAATTGTTCATTTAATTGCTGGTATTGGCAAATTAAGTCCCATTTCGCATAATCAATATGTTGTATGATAAACGGGATGGAGAATTTGTAATTTTTCCATATGTATTCCCAATTTAACTTATCCGCAAATTCTGAAATAGATGTATGAGATAAATCGCGTTGTTGACTGACGATATTCCAATCAACATAATTTTTAAAACGACGAATAGTACTTTCTTCTA